GGTTTTGGCTGAAGATATTGAGCTTTTCCACTGCCTCTTGCCACAGATGTAGTCAATCTGATTCCTGTGTGTTCCATCTGGTGAAGTCCACATGCAGAGCCACCATTTGTGTTGTTGAAAAAAGGTGGTTATTACAGATACTTATATATATAGTTTATGTAGGGTAGAAATGCACAATCTCAGCTGGGGTTTGAACCAAAATGAACCAGTTGGAAGTCCTGGCAGTAAAGGCCTAGAGGAAGCTTCTGGGGATTGGTTGGTGCTGGATTCTCCTCCAGACCAAATGGTTTTCCTTTTGGGCCTTAGTTTTCCTTATCTGTAACATGAGGGGTTGAATGCAATGGTATCTATCAGATTTTTCCAGCTCTCACATTTTCTGATGACGTGTTGAAGAAGTTAAAGAACAAGAAAGTGGGCTCCTGTTCTGAGCCCATTTACATTCTTTCAACTTTCACATTTATAGTTTATCTTAAATATAGTATGAACAGCAAACATTAAGAGTTTCAATATTTATGTCACAATGTACACCTAAATATCATGACTTAGTAAATTAGCATGTAAAACAGACTGCTTCCTCCACCCTCATCTCTTATGTGTGTTCTGTTGTTTTTATTTTATTAGGAAATACTCCATAGCTTGGGTGGGATTGAAAACCTAGCTCAGGTAAGATTCCTGGTGTGGTGGTTGGTCTTGCCTTTGCATTTAATGCCATAGCTCTAGATGAGGATTAATAGATACTTGACCCGAAGATGGCTTCCTTGCTGCCTGCCAAGGGGGAGACGCAGGTGGGGTTCATAAGTGTGAGCATGAGGCATAGTACTCTTAGAGCAGGGAGGTACCATGACCTTTTGTTCTGGCTAATTGAGCTTACTTTACTCAACCTGTTGAAACGAGAATATGAAAGGTCACATGTCTTTAGTGAGTAATGAAAAAAAGTAGGTGTTGGCAGGCAGGCCCATGTCCTCAAAACTGCACAAACTGTATAGGTCATGAAAATACTCCAAACTTTTTTTAGTTTGAAAAACAAAAACAAACACACACAAAGAAAACCCCCAAAACAAACCAGTACTGTGCTCATTAAAATATTAACAATAAATGATCATGTGATGAATGATCTTGACTTCCTTTATTTTTCTGCCTTGGTAACTACTGAGGGAAGGTAAGCAGGTGATATAAATGCTGAGCCAGTCAAAAGTTTGGATTTATTAATACAATAAAACAATGTCCAAGCGTGCTATTGGGTTGGAACAGCCCAGTCTCCTAAAACCTATAGCATGTGCAAAGAGAATGATCTTCATAATTACCCTGCAGGCCTGCAAGCTCATTCTGAATTATTAATGGAAGATTAAGTTTAATAGTAATTTAATGTTAAATCTGTTTTATTATATTCTTATTCTCGAGAAACTGATACAACATGTCTAGTTTTGATTTATAAGAAAACTCATGTAATGAAATAGTCTTTCATAAAATTTTATTGTAACGGGAACTTAAGTAACCTGGATTTCCTTATCTACTTTAACTCCTATCATGATATCTGAAATTTTATGTGTTTCTCTGAGTCAGTTTCTTCTTAGAATCAGTTATTCACAGTGAAAAGTTACCAGACTGCCTTATTCCCATTCTCTTCTGATTATTGCTCTTTGCATGTATCTGGTTAGATATGATTTTCAATATTATATAAGGTCAATGAAATAGATGCTGTGTGTTTTAAAACTACTGAAAAGGTAACTGGAGAATCAAAATTCTATGTACTGCTTATTGTACATCTTACATGTATCTTATATTTGGATGTAAAATTATGTTACAAATGTATTCAGTTACAAGCCATTTTGGGACTTTTGAGAATTTATTCAGTCTTTAGATGGTCCCTTCCTCAACTTCAGTACTTTCAGGAGAATCCAGAAACTCAACAACCTTGTACTTGACTGAAACAGGCCCAGAAGGCTCACTGTTATTTGGTGAATCTGTTATGCCACCTGCAGGTCATTTTAAGAAGTGCACAATATTGTCCACCTGCTTGTGTGCTTTTGGTATCTTCTCATTGACATTCATTTTGCTTTGGTCCCTCCTGCAGTACATGGAGATTGTGGCCAACGAATACCTGGGCTATGGAGATGAGCAGCACAGTGTGGACAAGCTGGTCAACATGACATGTAAGCACTGTTGCAGGGGCGCAGTTAGCCTCGGGACTGGCTAGTATAAGCAGTTGCAGTTTTAGCCGCAGGAAGAAAGGAAATTGAATATTTATGAATGCATCCATACACAATTATGGTGATGAATGTCCAGGCCAATTGTTGTATTCAGAGGCAAAGTAACCTCAGACGGACGAGTTTTAGAGCACAGCTGTAACCTCAAGAAGCACAATTTTTATATTTAGGCAGATCTTTATCGAGCATAAGCTTAACTTTATTTAATGTGAGAGATTTCCAGAAAAGCAAATTTTAGTATAAATATTTTTGCCTTCTTTGATTTCTGTTAAAATATTGCAGGGAATTCAGTTTTTATCTACAAAATAGGGTCAATAATAATACTTACTTCATAGAATTTGGAATTCATAACATAAAAATGAAAAGAAAAGAAAAAAAACACATCTTCATGAAGATTATGATGTGAAAGCATTGGTCTGTGTAGCTGCCTTGTCTCTTTGGAGGCTCTGCTAGCTCTCTGCTCCATCCAGGTTGATGAACTGCACGCTAACTGCTGTTGTGGGGTGCTAGCCTGCTTTCTCTGTGTGGAGAGAGTGTTAGTGGGCAGCACACTGCTTCCTACTTATTTACTGTGAGAAAGTAGTCTGTGCTAAGCTCTCTGAAACTTCCATTGGACTTCTGTGTCCTTTTTATAAGTTGAAATCTTCATAGGGAGGGTTTTTAAAGAATAGATCTCTGAACTTGTGATGTTACGGAACTTGTTCAACTTTAAGGGGAAGGAAATGTATGCATTTTTTTGGTCTTTCTGTATTTCATTTTTACAATAATATTATAAACAAAATACTAGTTGTGCTTGAAAGACAATTATTGGGGTTAAAATAACCCAGTCCTTCTCCCTCATTGTGCCTTTTGTGTCATCCTGGGTCCTGCTTGCCCTTTTCCTCCTTGCCTATCAGTATTTCAGATATGAGAGTCTATGCATACTGACCCCCTTTTAAGCTCTGGATCCATCATTGAGTGATTGTCTTCCTTTATAGATATTTTTCAAAAACTGGCTGCTGTCAAAGACCAAAGAGAATGGGTCACCACAAGTGGAGCCCACAAGGTGAGTGGCCCATAAAAGAGTTAACTCCTCAACTGCACGCAGTGACTCATGCCCAGGTTCAGAGCCTTTGTGGTCAAGTCTCATACTAATTATAATTCACAAACATGCTAACCTGGCCTAAAACTATGAGTCTCTGCCAGTCTTTTTCTTTGTTTTACCAGCCTAAACCCGTTGCCATCAAGTTGTCAGCCTAAAGGGTAAATGCGGAAACAGTCGGTAATGGTTTTCTGAAACGTTTGTTTTTCCTCCATGCCCTTCAACACCAACTAAATATGGAAACCTAAGGAGGGGTCGCTATGAGTCGGGATCCTCTTGATGGCAGTAAGAATTTAAGTGCTGATTGAAAATCTTTGGCTATAAATATAAATTGCTCATGAGTGTATGTGTGTGTATGTGTGTGTGATATATGTATGTTGTTGTTGTTATGTGCCGTCAAGTCGGACCCAACCCGTAGCAACCCCTCCTTGGGTTTCTGAGGCAGTATCACTACAGAAGTAGGTTGCCCAACCTTCCTTCTGAAGAGTGGCTGGTGGGTTTGAACTGCCAGCCTCCTAGTTAGCAGTCAAGTGTCTTAGGCACTATGCTACCAGAGCTCCTGTGATGTATGTATATAAACCTATTACTGCTGAGTTGATTCTGATTCATAGCAATTGTATACAAAAGAGTAACTGCTCTATAGGTTTTCAAATGCTATAATCTTTATGAAAGCAGAATGCCTCATTTTTGTCTTGAAGAGCAGCTGGTGGGTTCAAACCACCAACCTTTCAGTTAGCAGTCAAGCACTTAACCATTGTACCACTAGGCTCTTGCTCTCTTGCCCCTCCTCTCTAATATGTATACACATACACACATAGTGGCACATAAGGTTATATTAGTTTGAACCGTATGAAATTACCATTATTTGTAGATCAGAAAGTAGTGACCATGGGTCAACCTCACGATAAATAGTAAGATAGCACAGTATTACAGACATATGGGTAAAATATACATTAAAGATGGATGAAGGCAGATTTAATCAAAACAGGCTAAATTCATATTTATAGCAGGACTATTAAGATGGTAGCTGTCTAGAGCCAAACTTCAAATCCCAGTGGAAAGGAAGCCACTTTCCAGCACATGTTAGAGTTGTTGTTGCTGTTAGGTGCTTTGGATTGGCTCTGACTCAGTGACCCTGTGTACAGCAGAATGAAACGCTGAATGGTCCTGCATCATTCTCACAATCCTTGCAGTGCTTGAGCCCATTGTGTTAGCCACTGTGTCAATTCATGGTGTTGAGTCTTCCCCTTTTTCTCAGACCCTCTATGTTACCAAGCATGATAAACTTCTCCAGTGAATGGTCTCTTCTGACAACATGACAAAAGTAAGTAAGACAGTGTGGCCATTCTACCGCCTAAGGAACATTCCAGCTGTGCTTCTTCCAGGACAAATTTATTTGTTTTTCTGGCAGTTTATGGTATTTTCAGTATTCTTTGCCAATACCACAAGTCAAAGGCATCTATTCTTCTTTGGTTTTCCTTATTTATTGTCCACCTTTCACATGCATGAGGTGGTTGAAAATACCATGGCTTGTGTCAGGCACACCTTAGTCTTCAAAATGACATCTTTGCTCCTTAATGCTATAAAGAGGTCTTTTGCATCACATTTGTGCAGTGCAATACAATGTCTGATTTCTTGACTGCTGCTTCCACAGGTGTTGATTGTGGATCCAAGTAAAATGAAATCCCTGACAACCTCAATCTTTTCTCCATTTATCTTGCTGTTGCTTATTGGTCCAGTTGTGAGGATTTTTGTTTTCTTTATGTTGAGGCACAATCCATGCAACGTTTGATCTTCATCAGTAAGTGCTTCAAGTCATCTTCACTTTCGGCAAGCAAGGTTGTGTTGTCTGCATATTGCAGGTTGTTAATGATTCTTCATCCAATTTTGTTTTTTAATTGTGATTTGGGTGAAAATTTACAGAGCAATTTCATGTTCCATACAGCAGCTTACATATACTTTGTCTCATAACATTGACTGCAGTTTCCCACAATGCAACAGCTCCTCGCCTTCTTCCTCCTCATAGCCACCTCTTCCCTGTGTCCTTCCGTCCCATGCACCCCTGTCCCCCAAGCTGTCTCCCTGTGCATACACAGTCCTTCTATTCTTCCATTATTGTTCTCTCCAAGGAGTGTATCTACCTAATGTAAATGTTCAGCTCATATTCCTATCTTTTGTTTGGCTGGAAGCCACAGGAA